ACAGATGTAGAAAGGCATTCAGTTTTAAAATAAAAACTTAAATTTGACCTCCACGGACTAATTAAACAGACTACTAAATCTTTAAAAAAAACATATAAAACACGTTTAGAAATTTACTTCACATTAGAAGGGAAAAAAAAAGAAAATGTCTGTGTGGTCGATGATTACAATGACAATTAAATTTAATTTCTATTGAATAGTAACGAAGATAAAATAACCTAATAGACGTAGTCATTAAAATTTTCAGCAAAAACCATAACGAACTAAAATTATATTTCATTATAGAGTCATCTTTCGTCACATATTTACAATCATTATATCAAGCTTTACAAATGGTATAGTAACTAGTTGTTAATAATGACAACAGATGGCACCTTGGAAAATTACTTACAGTAGAAATTCCACTTAGCAAACTAAATATAAATGAATAATAAATGAAGATTCGATTTAAAAGAAATTTTATAAAACACTGATAGTATTCTAAATATACAATATACTTTTATCATAAAATAAAACAATTTTGTACGACATCTACTAACCGAAATATACTCTTTTTAGAAAAAAAGATTAATTTTTTTAATGCGTGAGAGGTTTGTAATATTTTTCAATAAATTTTACTACACATCCTTAATTATTTTATAATTTATGATTCGGTTTTATGTTTTTTTCATTTAATGTAATGCACTTGTAAACCTTTTTTAATATTTATTATTTAAATGTTGAATGTAATAAAAATAGTTGTCAATAGATGGCGCAACAACGTTTCGTCTACCCTGTTTAGTGGTACATAGCTAAGTTTTATGAAATAAATCCCGCACGTGATAATTACTTAAATTCAATTATTTAATGACATAAAAGTTTAATTTAAAGTGTCATTTCTGATTTTTAAATGGATAATATGAATGAATTTCCTCATATATACAGACAGAGAAAAGATGATAAATAAAGAGAACAGAGAAACGATGGATAATAGCACAAATAATTAATTTTCAAATGTTTTTGTTCCTTTAGTAGTCAAATATTCAAGAATTCATTTTTCTCTTTAGTATTAATTTCTCCACAAATATAAATTTAAACGATTATAATCTACATATTATCTTTGATATATACATATATTTGCATATGTAAAAGTGAATAAAGTCGTTTTTATTTGTAAATTATCCATTTAGAGTAACACTAAGGAATTCTTATAATTTGAAAATAGAAAATAATCTTTCAAGATCTACGAAGAGTCGTCAAGAGGCTTTTCACATTCTCCCCAGATATTAAGTACAATAAGATATCAGAGGAAACAAAATAGAGTTACCTTTGCCACTGTGATAAATCTTATACACTTTGTAAATATGACCATTAAAACGTTTTTACTCTTTTACCTTTGAACTTTTGTAATACATAAAGAAAGTTAAAACATACTTAATTAAATATTAACATAGTTGAACGTTCCATGTTTGTGCATAGCGAGAGGCGGCCGTAGAAAATATACATTGAAATACTGTATATGCTGAAAATTATGGTAGTCTTATTTATTATTTACATCTTGGTTTACAAATGTGTATGTTATAACTAAAATTGCATGTAACATAAAAGTTTCTTTTCAATAATTTCTTCTTTCTTAAAGACACATATTTAATTTTAATAAGTATACATCTGGTTTGAAATATGTTTATATCGGCATATATTTTTTAACAAAACCTTGTGATTTCAGGACCAATATGAAATTTAAGCAAATTATTGCGTTATAATTTTTTTCTAAATACGACAAAGTTTGAAATAAAATATTTAAGTGTTTTTTTAAACATGTCTATCATCTTGCCAATTTTAGTAGGTCACAATTAGTAAATATTAAATCATGATCAATAGACATAGCATACCCATACTTAATATGTGGATAACGCACCGGCGAGTTAAGCCTTATTAGATTATAAAATAGTTTTAGTAATCATTATAAATTTGTATACGTTTTCTGATAAAATTGTTAATTTTACAAAGTGTCTGTACATATTTTGTATTATTAAATTTAACTGAAACATCTTTATTGGAAAATTCCTTCGTGTTCGACCTTTGGAAAGATCCAATATAAGCTTAAATCTTCAGTTTTAAACGAGACTTTGCTTTTCTTGTACAATTCGTCTTTAAGAATACTTAATGTAGATCTACCCCTTTTCATCACTTGTAAAGTTTCGGCCTCATTTAGAAATGGTCCAGTAAATATCAAGCACTGTTAGAATTTAACACGAATTAATAAATATACCTAATATAAAACTTCATATTTCATATGCATTATGCCATTTGTTTAAACAAAATAGAAGTCTTTATTATTTAAGTTTGTTTGAAATAGGACATGTTCATGTTTAGAAATTAATGAATTCATATAATTAACCCTTTTCATTATTCGGTTCCCGACTGTCCAACAAAATATATACTACGGTCCTAGAATTATAATCTAAACTAAATCGTGGTAGTACACTCTAAAACCAAGTTTGATGCTAGCAGGCGAGGGGGTCAGTTAAAAAAGAGGCTCCCTAATCAGGTCCGCGCGAACACGCGTTACGCACTTACATAATGAAAGGGGGAAATAGGGCGCTGGGGTGGGAAGGGGCCGTCATCTGCGTACAGGGTGTCCGGCGGCCCGCGATCGATACCTATACGTGTGGACTTTATGTAAAAAGCCTCCTGCACACCCAACGACGCCGACCATAAGTGTCGAGGAACGAGTCGCCCCCGGGGAGGAAGGCACGAAATATCTTCAATTTTCGAGAGAAAATTTTCCAATGCGGGGGCGAAAGCCTGCGGCGGAAGGGCTGGCTCACTCGCCCCGAACGCCTATGTCCGAAAAATGCGCGCAACCTTAATTGAATTTACAGATTTGCCTTTCGAAACTCACGCTCCAGCGATGTTTATTGCGGAGGCCTCGTTATTAGTTCATGTGAAAAACTGATGGGACCCGATAGAACTACGGATCGGTCACTCATAAAACATTCTTTAATTTTCAAATTAAGTGCATTAGATCTAACTGTCATTTGGTCAACTACAGTTCAATACTGAATCATTACCATATATTTTGATATAGAAGGAAAATCTCATAACTTAAATCTTTGAAATTATGCTCTTAAATATTTTTAATTTTCCATGTCACCCGTCTGTGGTCAGAAATATACCGTATGTATTAGCTTTAAGACTTCTTATCCCATTTGTTTTGACCACACAAAACCGTAATTTATGATTAGAATTCAATCTTTTTATATAAATGTTATATAAAATTATTGTTACGTTTAATAAGACGCAATAAAGATAACATTTACTAACTACACATTTGTTTAGTTTAAAATCTAAGCATTTTTGGTGGTATCTGACGACAGGTGTCATATGTAAAGCTTCTTAGACCTTTGTTTAGAATCGAAAATATTTTGTAACTTCTTATTTAGATTTCGTATTGTACCAAAATGTTTAGTATGTATTTGTTTAATATTCAACATTTCCATAATAATTTATCAATACTTAGAACAAGTTTTTGAAGTATGTTTATAAAAAATAAATAATTGTAATAGTCTTATAAATAAACTCGGCAAAAAGCTAGGCAAGTATAATTTTTCTTTTATCTGAGATATCAACATAGAACAGAAAGATTTCGCAAAATTAATCAATTGATGTTATTAAAGGCAGTTTGTTATTTTAAAGTATTAATTTTGAAGACGGAAGTGATCATTGAAATACATATATATGAGATGTCTTGACTATTGGTTGAAATTTCACCTGCATATTTATAAGGAACAGAATTCAGAATAATAACAATAATTCAGTTAATAAATAGGCACATATTAAAAACTGAGCAAAATAATTACTCTAATCTCTGTTAAAACACACAAATAAAGGAAAATCCTACATATTCATTCAATAAGAACCATTGGTGTCGTTATATTTGCCTTGGCTGCTATGCCAAAACGCCTTTCATTTAAATCCTACTCTGTGACCGTTTGTAATACGACATGCAATAGATGAACGAAAAACATAATTTTTATGGAGGTCCCTTCAAACAATTTTGAAAAAAAATCCTTTAATTAAAATATCTTGTGTTGTGTTATTACACTAAAATAACTCTTTTGGTACTTATATTACCTAGACATATATATTATGTCTTTAATATAAATTATATTATTGATAGTGAAAAATCTTTCATGAGCTTTATTTTATTTAAAAGAAATAAATTATTGATTATCTTCCTTCATCCAACTAGCAAATTCAATGTTACATATAGTGGAGTATTTATATCCGCTTATTACAAATCGAAGTTTTAAATGGCACCCAAACACACTTTCTCAATATTAACAAACTTCAGTAACTTTCAGTTTTCAGAGAAATGGAAAGTGTTCCTATTTCGAGTCTACACACAACCTTCACAATATATATTCAGTCTCTTTGGATACCTACTCTCGAACCCTACCTACCAATACGTAGGGCGGGCAGCAAAGTCCGTGCACATGTAAAATAGCTCTGATACACATGAGATATGCTCTATTTTAATACTTATTGATCGAAATGATAACATTAATTTTATCAAAGAAATGAAAATTGGTTGAAAATATTTCTGGAAGCATTGTTATGTCATACTTAATTTTATAAGGAAGAAGAAATTACTTGTGCTATATTATTTTTCAAACTGTACGTAATAATAAAGATAATAAAAAATAACGTTTAAAATTTACTCAAAATATATAACCACAATAAATTTACAAATAAATTATTGCTTATTTTTAAGCAAGATTTGATTAAAATTTTCAGACTGCGTTAAAAATCAGGTAAACAATATAACACACCTAAATCACAACATTTTATGTAAAAAAACCATTGTTTAAGCCTATCATCACTTTCAGCATGATGGTGTACATATGAATTTCTAGGATATGATTATAATATGTTAGCAATATGTATATACAACATATATATTTAAAAATAATTTCCTATTATTGAAGTAGAGCATAAACCTGTCATGAGCCTCCAAGCTGGGTTCTGGGGGCTACTTCTCTGTTATATCTGCCCGTCCAAGATACATGCCTCGCATAGACGCACTCGTGTTACCGGCCAACGGGGGGAGGGGGGGGTCACCCACAACCCCGCCCGGACCCCAAAAACCCCTACCCACCTCCTCGCCTGCGTCATCTAGTGCGGAGACTAGCGTTAGGGTTAATTCAAATACAATTTAAATATTTAAAATATATATAATTTATTTATATCACTTACGATATCACAATTTTAATCATCCAAACGAGTTTTAATTTTCCTAGATCTATAGTTGGGTGTTTTTAAAATCTATATTCATAGATATTAATTTTATATATTTTCTAAAATATGAAAGCAAATACTTGTAAAGTAAGATCTTTTTGCTTTTGTATCCTGCACGAAAATTAAAGCATATATGTAAATAATTTCATATTTATTTTGCTATGATCGTTTAAAGCAAAATGTTAACTATAGTAGGCACTGCAATTTAAGCTACGTTGATATAAACTTAAAAATATCTAATATGTTCCATAACTTTTTCAAATTTATTATATCTGAAACAGTCTTGCAGCAGCCCTGTGTGTCCGGTTCGCAGCCCTGAATCTGTAGAACGTAGAACAGAGCGGCGTGCGTGCCCGGCTCGCTGTAAACAGCTACCCTCGTATGTAGGACGGATGGACCTCCCCCTCCCCCAGATAAAGGGGTGCCTTCTTCCTTGTTCCTCCTTGTGCAAATTCCCCTGACGATGGAAATGTGCTCCGCAACATTTTATACAATTTCTAGTTCGTTCCAAAAATTCATTCCTGTCCAATGGCTTATATGTTATTAAATAACTACATAATGACCGAATATAAGCGCTCTTTAGTAAATGTTAAGTCTATGTTGTTGGTGAGTTTCTAGTCACCAGCTACAGCTGCCGTTGATTTCACATTTTTTTCAGCACATTAAATAAAGTAACTAGATACTACTTTTAAGGTCCACAAATCTTAAATGATCTGTGTGAATTGTAATCCTAACAGAATAAAGTAGTCCATTTTGTCAAATCTAATTACATTATTACCCGACTAAACACGAAGGAAGAAGATATGTCCAAACGTTTGTCACAATTAAATTACATCTTAGACCTATATTGACGACATTTGCAACCTTAGGTTACAAATATTCTTATTAAACGGGGAACAAATTATTTGTCTCGATAAGTAAAGTCGCTAAAAAAGAAGTTTATTTTAGTATCTTGAACAAAATTTTCGTCAGAACAAATAAATATTATACAACTAATTACTTTTTATTACTGTTGTCAAATGTCATTGAAGGGATTATAACAATAAAATTAAATTGGAACAATATGTAACCATTGTTATTTTCATTTCAAACATTATGACGTAATTAAATTTATATTGTGTTGGGTCTCACATCTGATGCAGGACCCAATAATGAAGAGTGTAGTTTCCAAATGTCGTAAATAATAAATACTTACAATTTATTATACCAATGTAAATATTTACTTGATACTGTATGATCACATATTTAAATTTTCATATTACATTGAAAAAATGTAAATCAATTAAAATAAATAAAGAGATCATAGTTATGATAAAGTATTAGATCTCAATTTTACGGAATATAGTTTTAAGGTTTACCTACATACAAAACAAATATATTTGTAGTTTTCTATAGAAAAAAGTTCAAGTTGCTAAATAGTAACATTATGGAAACTTTTCCGTTTAATTTAATACAAAACGTTCCTCTTTGTTTCAAGTTTACTTTGTAATCCAGTTATTCTTCTTTGGATGGCAGAGACGGGTTATATCGTAATACTTTAAACTACTTCAATATACTTTGAATATTTAATTATGTGTATAGATTATTATTGTCTTCATTTTATTACTTTTTAATACCGACACCGTCATTAGAAAATTCTGTTTATCACAATCGGTCAGTCTTACTCTTTTAACATGATTACAAAATTTTAAGCTAAAAATTTCACACTAAAATCTTACGACAAATTCAGTGCGCCATATCAGAGGTCACATTTAGAATACTTGTCATGTTCAGAATTGCTGGGCTTTTAATTAAAGCTGAAGTAATTTAGGGGGCCAGGGTGTTATGGCCATGTATTAGGTACAGTCTTCTGCATACTCATTTGGAAATGTTTAAACAGAGGTGGCTGTGGGGGCGATGGTTAGTTCTCCGCTACAGATAAATTAATAATACCTACTATTTAGCTATATCTATACATGTCCATGTATACAGCGTGTTTCGCGTATATTAGTGTTACTTTTGAATTCGGTAAGTAAATACAACATATATCAATACGTACTTTAACACGAATAAAGTAAGAATATTTATTTTCTTTAATGTATAATGAGGTATTAATTTTAGAAATTTTAATAGATAATATAAGATAATGTTCATAATTCTCTTTACTTTGTTTACATATAGTGAATAAAAAGTTTTTATAAAATAATGTTACGTAATACATACGCCATTCATAATGAAACCCCCTATATAACTGAGATGTTAGATGTAAAATTTGAGCTGAGTACAACGCACACCTATTATGAAATTTCTTCACACATAGACCAGTCACGCACACTACAACATATTCGGACTCTAGCGGGGTGGGTATAGAATCCTTGCGATGCTCGACCCCGGCTTAAATTCTCATATTAATATGTATCTCCCTTAAGCGTAGATATCTGAAAGCCGATATTAGGCTTAATTATGTAGACGTTTCTGCTTTGGATATTGATAATAATTAACTAGTATACATTTTAATCTATAACTTATTCCGACTTCGGTACAGTTTATTTATAACTAATACCAAAATATAGGTATAATATAAGATACTACATTACAATAAAATCTTATAATTAATTTCATTTCATCAATATCAATGGTGAATTTCTTTTTCATTTATCTCAACATATAATATTTCAAAAATGTTTCCTTACTGCCAATATGACCAATTATAAAACAGGCATAACTTAATTGGACAATGCTTAAAGTGTGCTTCGACGAAAGTAATTCTCTATTATTTTCTCCCCTAGTGGGTCACGTCACTATCATTTTTTTACTTTCTCGACAGCAGTAATTTTCGGGACCTGTTTTCCTTAAAAGTAGAGAATTTTCTCACCTTTTAAAATAGTCTTCTTTAGTATTACATTTTTAACAAATTTTTCAACAGAACAGATTCTTCGATAATTGTATTTCAAGAAAAATCATTTTAAAACTTGTGACTTATATGTATAAGTTAGTTCTTATATTTTTTTAATACTTCTGAAAAAGGACTATAAGATGTTAGTATTCTTTGAATGATAACAAAAAATATAACAGAAAAATAACTGTTGTTATTTTAACTCCTATGAAAATGGAGTTCTTAGCACGTTTACGCACTCAGAATATTTTCCACGGACAATATTGAAATATCTTAAATACAGTACGAAGAAATTTTTTCATAGACAAACTATCAAAATATTCTAGTAACAAAAAAATACTCTTTCGTTAATATAGACTCTCGAATATGAAAATTCAACATTAAAACCCAAAGAAATTAAGTTGAAGTTAAACACGATGTTAATTTCGTACTTTGAAGCTAAAAATCATTCAATTTCAACATTTGGCTCAAAATATGAGCCTCTTGAATATTCATTCAAATCATGTAAATATATTTAAAAATCGATAACTATATATGAATATATCAATTGCACCGTAGTCAGGCATACATAAAAGACGTTAAAATTTTGAATAGTGAGTTCAACATATTTGTGTTTTTCTTATTCTTCTCGTAGATACTTAATTTATGATTGGTTTTGAATTTAAAGCCTTAACTCATAATTTTAGTCCGGTAAAGTACATAACTTTATATCTTGCTCCTTCTTTAATTACGAATACAATCTTTGTGACATATTAAAAAGAAATTACTGAAACTTTAAGTTTATAAACAGGCTATTTTAACCATTTTAAAAAAACACGTTTAAATCTTTTGTCAAAAAGTATTGGACTGTGTAAATAAATGTCTATATTTTAGTAAGGTATTACGACTAAAGCCTTTAACCAATATTATCGTACGGTTTATATTTTTATGGGTAAAGGCTTCGAAACAAAATGTGAATATTATAATATTTCCTTCAGCTATATTGTATTTCGGAATTCAATAATCAATGCTGCAATTTTTCTGTTGTATCTAAATTAAGAAATTTTCGTTAATAATTAAGTATCGCAAAAAGGATTGTCAACCAAGCTTGGACAGTGAAACAACCCCTCTTTCAACGGATAATTGAAAAGGGTAGAATGCCATTTAAAAATTCAGCAGGTGACTAAACTTTGCGTCACGTGTCAACCACAAGGTAAGGCTGCATATCACTAACCACATTATGCCTATTTTTGTAGTATAAGTGCTGCATGTTTTAAGGCTTCCATACACCAATTATTTAATTGAGTTCAAGTTTAAATTATTCGATGTTTGTATTTAATCCTCCATGTCTTGTAGTTTTACAATATTTTTTTTTCAGCAAAAAAAAACAATCATCACATATCTTTAAAAAAAAATATTAAAAATGTTTAAGCAAAAAGTATTGTCAAGAGGCGCATTTCGAATCGTAAATAGGCTCTTAAAAAACTTTGTGACCATAATGTGATCTAAACAGTTTTTGAAACAGGTCCACCATTGATGATTATTTTACGTCAATTGAGGACCATTAGCGCCCATTTTGCAGTGAATTCTCATTAGTTCAAAATCGATAATATAACAAACCTAATTAATTAATAATAAAAACAAGAACGATCGAAAAATATCTAGTCTTAATGAGAACTTTTATTACAATGATTCAAATATATTTCTTTATACTTAAAGCATCATATTTAAATTCTTAAAGAGTACATACATTTTATTGATAATTGTATTAATTGCGATCCTAAATACCAAAGAAGAAAATAATATTTTAAAGGCAATTTAAATTTAAAAGGAATTCCATGATAGTATCAGCTCTATCTTTCCATGCTTTTAACATCCCTATTTCTACTTATGAAAAGATTTGTTACTGATATTATTTGTACAGAAACAGACATAAATGTTATCGAAGTAGGTATGCTGCGTGCAGGGTGTTCGAATCCATTTACTGTTCTAAATTATGCGTAAAACGTCCATTTGACGTTCACCCCTCTTCTCTCTTATCGCTTGGACAGGAACGGACGGGAGCCTCGGGCGGGGGTGCTGGACTAGGGCAAATTGGGGGGTCCGAAGGGGTCCCGAAGTCCACCTCACCCTTTAGCTACCCCGAAGTTCCATCTCTCACACCTATAAATTCGGCACACACACCCCATCGGGCGGGGTGGTCCATGGCGTACCAATCCTTTCGTTGCCTCCGTGTCACATTTGCCAGGGCTCTGGTGACCTCCACTACAAATTAATATTCAGAAACGTTTCCGTTCCGATCCTTAATCATTGCTATTTCTGCTGTTCTTGGTTTCATGTACAGGACGCGTTATCGCCGTCTAATTACAAATAAAAATTTTAAAATATCATATAAATGGAAAACAATTTGAAGCATGTAATACTTTTATAGCTGTATAGTTACTAAAAATTACAGTGAAATATGGACCAAATGCAAAATTAACTTAAATGATATAAAAAATTGTAATCATTGGACCTAATCATGTTATCAGTTTGGGCACTGCGACATTGTTTGAAAGTCACCAAACTATTTTATTTAAAAGAAGCAATAATTATTCTGATTTATGTCAAAACTACTGACATTAAATTTATATTATTCCCATAAACTTGTTTCTATTGTAAATTCACGCAATATATTTCAATGTCGCACGCAAAGTTTGCTGCGTAATAGGTAATTAAGTTACATTTTCTTCTATATTTAGGCACGCTCAAAACTTTTAAAACTAGGACATATTAAAAGAAAACATAAGCTTACATTAAAATCCATATTTAATGAAGAAAAAAAACTGTCTGTATTAAAAACATTTTTATTTATGGACCATATAATTTAACAACAGAGCTTTTTGGTAGAAATGTTGTTGAAACAACACAATAAACAATTAATGTTCATGTGAATTTAAATCGCGAGTACACAGCTTCAGGTTGCACATTTATATCTTAGAATTTTTATTGTATAATGTTTTCGATCTATCACTTAATTTAAATGTTTTACACAATAAGGTGACCTTTCCACTTGAAATATTCTCATCCAAAGTTTTTACTGAATTTGTCAACATATATTTATTGGCTAGATGTGATTTTGTATTGGTAGTTATATTTTGTTTCGGGTCATTGGATGATATTTTTTTACCTTCATCATAATCAGACATAGTTGAACTGCTGCTATAACTACAAACAACATCCACTCTTATTATTTGGAGGGTTGCAGGGCTCTCATTCCTGGTAATCGTAAGACTTTTGCGCTTGCTATTCTTATGATATAATACCTTTGTATCATCATCGCTTTCTACAATTTTGAAGTTATTTTCGTGGTAAGTTTTATGTTTTTGGAGTTTATTAGTCTTTAATTGAAACTTTTGTTTCTTTTTTGTTTTGCACCCCATGTCTACTTGAACAGCTTTATTTTCAGTATGTCTATCAATGAAATCGTTTAAAATTAAACTAGATTTGCTGGAAGTTGGCCTAGAATTGCAATTTGTGAAGTATTTAGCATAATTATCAAAATAATTGCTGAGCTCGGAGTAGCAATCAGCATTTTGATCTAAGTCTTCGACATTTTCTCTCACAAACATTCTATGCTTATAGTTAGCTGGCAATGATTTGTATTTGAAACCAGTCCGCGGTCTTTTCTTTTGTTCGACGTTTCCTTTAAATTGTATGTTTTGTACGGTAAGAACTAGTTCGTTTCCGCTCTGTAACCTGCTTTTCTCATTTTTTTCATTGATATCAACATCACTGCAATAAAACCTGAAAATGAGTATGATAAATATTTAAGTTTAAATACCATGTAATAAACACAGTACTTTGTTTTTTTATTAAATTGTTTAACACTTTAACAGAGGCTATATGCACAGTAAATTTCGATGCTAAATATACGGCGAGTATATGCTCATACATATTACATACAATTAGTTTCATGAGCAAACCTTAGTAAAATTTTATTTTTGAAAAAATTACTGGCATACCCACATCAAAGCGTCTATTTTGCGAGACAGTGGACCAAAATTATTGTTAAAAAATGTGTAAAAACAGTTTAATAAATGATAAAAAATACACACATTTTATCACTCCATCGCGGATCTTCTTCATGTCCGGGGTCCACCATCCGTTTTTCACAAAATCGTCCCGACCTCTCACTTTTTGATGGTTTTAATTTTGATCTATCTTGAAGACAAAGCTTTGTACATTTCATTATGCTGGATCTACCTATAAATTGCATGGTTTCGGAACTAACATTCAGTCATTATTAAGACCTTTTAAACGAAATTACAGTGGAACATATCGTGGACAAAACTATCAAATAAAATTCATATTATCATATAAAATTCTGAGTTCCTGAATTATATTTAGATTATTTCCAATAAATATCTATCTAAAAATTTCGATCACTGTATTATTTACAAAATTTGTAATTGGCTATTTAACTAATATTTAATCCCATAGCTTTAAAATAAATATAAAATTAGCAATTATTCTTAACAGCCCACTTTTTTTTATTTTCACAGCATATTGTTTAGTTCCTATTCATTTATAAGTAATTATACTGGACGCCATCTTATTATCTATCGCTGTTTCATTCTTTCTTGAATATTTTTGTTAAGAAGGAGAGAGACATACACAGATTTTTTTTAATACGTATCGATAAAGCTACAATGGCAGCAGAATGGTGTATTTGATCTAGCAACGTAGCGGTCCACATGTTCTTGGGAATAGCTTTGCCAACGATGCAAAAAATGTTTCTTTATAATATTGTGAGCGGATGGATGTATCTTGATATTTGTTCTGTGAAAAATAATTTTAAATAGAATATGGCCCATGACCATAATATTTATCTAAGTAAAAACACCAAACCCATAAAAGTATTGCGGTATATTATTAAAGGCTTTTGTATTCATTACAAGCTCAGTATGATCACGCAAAGCGTGTTTTTAAATTTCCTTTCCGAAATTAGTAAAGCTGATAAAAAATAACGAAATCGTCAGAAAAATTTGTACAAACTCCAATTTACACGCACTACCTAAAATACTGTCAAAATTGTTATGGATTTGCACCGATTTTCTACTTTTATTTAAAATATATAATTATTATGTATAAAATTCAAAAGGAAAGTAACATTATAGATTATGCACAGTTATAACAAATATTTTCAACAACTTTAAATTTATCGGTCACTCTATATTGTATAAGATATCCACACTAATACAAAATAATAGGCACAGCTGCTACACGACTAGACAAGCACACATACACAATCGGTGCATCCATGCACACCGACGAACCGGATAACAAAAAATGCATTATTATTATCCTGGAACCAGAAGATTCATATCGCTCACAGAAAGTTAAACCTTCTATGCACAAAATAAAGATTAAAATTAACTACACAAGTATTTTAAACGATTAACTTAGATTTTATCCTAGCTAAACGAGATCCAATGTATTATGATACTTTTCAATATTGAGGGAAGATTGAATTTGGTTTGCAAATGTTAGTAGAGGAATTTAAGTTTAATAATAGTAGAAAAAAGCTATGTATCTTACAAGGCGCCAAATGCACGATGCACTACCCAGACGAAATCTGTGGAATTTTGTTAAACGTGATGTTTATTGCACATCGGATATTATCGGTTTGAGGAACATAGTTTTGAACATTATACGTTTAGCATAAGAAAAATTTACTTTAAGACACTACATTTGTTAATGTTATTACGATTTATAATATCGAAGATGTAAAAATTTTAATAAAAAACCTGATAATGTTTCTATCAAGAGCTTACCAAACTTTAAAAGCTCTTGTTTCTATTCGAATAACAAATTTTAAGAAACAAAGACTCCTAAGACAATTAAGTACCTAAATAAGAAAATTCCGCACTTGCTTTTAAAATTTATTTTACAAATTTTATTTCTCCATTTTTATTAAATACCCACATTTTTAACTTCATAGGCAGTAAAGTATAAATTATGTTATGTTTGTATTATATCTATAGAGTACTTAAAAAGTATGTAATTAATACACACTTAGTATTTCTTATAAATCATACTGCTCTCATTTCATGTATCGGAAATTTTAAAGTTTTTGATATTCATGAGATTATTTGTTATTAAATTATTTAACAAGGACAGGTACAAGGCCCCAGGCCGGTTATCCTTGACCTGCCTTTGAATTGGTTGCATTTCACTTGCAAACCTATGAAAGGCAGCGACGACTTGACCATTACAAAACAACCTGTCACTGGGTCAAATATAACAAAAGAGGGTCACATCGACCATCTCCTATTGATTACACTACCGCATCCTAATTCTTTAGTCCGCCATTATCATGATAAAGGAATGACCCCCTGCGTTTCTCTCAGAAATAAAATTGTATTTCTGACCACGCCTTTGCCAAAGCTGTATTGTGTTACATTTTAAATAGTTTTACTGATTTATGTCCTTTTTTATATTTGAAACTTAATTTCGTGGTCCCTTACTAATTTAGGAGCTCTCAGTTTTTGCAAAATATATTAATATTATTATTATAACTTAATGAAACGAGGTCTACGAGTGAGATTCGTTTCATTATTTCTCAGAGTCAGTTATCAAAGCTATAGAAATAGAACTTATTCAAGACCCCTTTGCTCTAAAATTGGACAAAGACGAGTGCGCAAATATGTTGCAGAGAATAAATAAAGGGATGATATATTGTGAAGAGTGATGTGATTAAAAAAAGCCATTTCCCTTAGTGCTGCCAAGGTGCATGCTCTCTAGTGTTGTTGGTTACTAGATAGCCTATCGATACTTTTAAAATTAGTTTTGTCTACCTAATTTTATATCCATGTATAGAAAACTTTTGAACACAAAAATTGTCATGTAATATGTAACATGACCCATTTTAGACTATTATGACATAAGATAAGGTTATCATGAAAGATTCTAGCGACTTTTACACTATTACGTATAAAAAACACCTTTTCTTATTTCTGAATTTTAGTCAGGATTAGGACAGATTCTTTCTATATCATATCGACAATCCCATCACTACTATATCTCAGGTGAACGTAATCGTTGTGGGAACTATTGCTGCTATCTCATTTATAGAATGTGTCTATCCTGCTCTTGAATTGTCAGCAAGACAGTCCCATACAAAGCGCATTGAATTCGATGATTGAATAGAAAGCCATAACGCTTGCATGGTGTTCTAACACGTGCATTTATATGATGCAAAATAATATTATACTGAAGCTTTAACTGTTTAACTACGTATAGTTAGGGGCTCTAAGACCAGATTTAAATACGCTTTACAAAATTACTTTCATAAATATTTCACATAAAGAAATATACATATATTTATAATAACTACCTGTAATATCATCTTAATTTCTATATCTGTTAATAGAAATTAAGAATTTTATTGCAGGTTTTTAATTCTGTGTACCTATTCAGTAATAGTAAATTTTAAACTATTGATGTACATATTTACTTCAGTTCACGGTTCCATTTTATAACACAATATGTTGTATTTCGATTCTTTTGTTGGTTGCAGGCATCAAATAGACCGCTCCGTGTTACTTTAGAACCATTAAAATTTTCGTTATGTCCAAAAATATTACTTGCAAATTGACTCACTAATGATAGACTACAAGGCTATAGATATCGATTCATTACAGCTTTTATAAATCTAGTTTAGTAGGTGATAATGTGAATTTTGAATGTAAAACGGATATTAGGTATAGACAATAAAGGTAATATATGATTAGTTTTTACTATACTTAATGTTTATTTTATAGAATCAAGGTTTTTGTTCCTTTTACGAAGCTTGTCAAAGAAAAACGAATTTTTTATCGATTAAGTGTAAACATTAATGTTTGAATATAATATGAAAGTTAAAAAGTTTAACAACTTATACACAATATTAAAAGAGACAGGATTTTAATATTGAATAAAATTTCTGTGAATTACAATGACGACGATAATAATAAATCATAATATATATTTGTCACTTATAAATTGCCCTTCAAATTGTATCCATAAATTAATACTGTTTTTCCACAAAATATTAAAGACAGAAATTATGAGTGTACTATTTTACTAACTATAACAAGTACAAAGGAAAACTTGCAAAGTTTTATTTTCTTAACATCAGCCATCGCGATATTCACATAACATTTTATAGTGGCTCAAACGCAAAGATCAATATCATATGGTAAATGAAAACGCGTTTGTAAGAAAATATAGAAGCAATAATCGTTTAACATGTCACATAATATGTATATCATTTGCTACTTATCTAAAATATCACGCAGCTCATGAGACATTACAATAACTAATAACGTAGGAAACAAGTTTTACAAATAAAATATGTATCTTACAAAATTATCACGTTGAGCTACCTATATATATATTTGAGAACAAAATTGTGTAATGTATATCAACACTATTTTCTTAATATAAATCTTGTAAATGAAATTGTATGGCTATTTTTTTTGCTTTTGTTTTTTTTTTTATATAATGTATTAGTATAAACAATTACCTATTTAAGCAAAATCCTAATCATTACTGGGCATATACTTGCTGTCTAAATAAAAGGCAAGCGTAGCATAACATCAAAGACGAGAAGTGCGTAATTTATTGTATTAAAATGTCAATGTGCTTTTTATACCACGTGATGTAAACAATTGAATGGTTACCGGTTAGATGAGGCGCGCTTCCTCGTCGGCGTCTATGCCGCGACTACGTGTAATCAGTGACTTTCTTAACACCCGCACTCATCGACGCAATTATATTAAGAAAAGATAGATTGTGCTTAAGCTTTAGAAATTATTTCAAGCCTTAATCATTTTTCTTTTTATTTAAATAAAAAAAAATGTATAAATGTATAGTTCCCATACATGTTTATTTATAATTATGTGCAACTTTTAAGATTATGAGAATCACAATCCTTAATTATTTTGGTTATCTCTAGGTCCATAACGAGTTACATACGTAGATGATGAAAAAACTTTAAAGATATGAAGTTCATTATAAACGCGAACTAAGATAACGTCCATACACTAAACCTTAGCTAAAACTCACAGTTTCATTCATAAACTTTTTTATTTCGATTACTAGTGCTACAATATGATTTTAAGATCTTATTTAACCATATGTACCTTCTATCGTCCTTCAAAGTCATTTTCATAATATCTCTTATTTCTTTATCTTATCTTAAACTTT